CTTTTTCTGTCTGCCAAAATTGTAGTGGAGATAGATGATAATTGAACCATGGCATTGCATTGATCTGTCTAAATCGGTCTATTTCCTAGGTAAGTTGGATCACATAAATATGGCAGATAGGATCAAGATGGAATCAGCAACTTGGTCCCCTACTTCTGCAAATCCTTCTTCTATTTGCTCGCCTCGGTTACTCCTGCCCTTTTTAGTGGTTCTCTTTGTTAACCTCCTCTGACCCCATCGCTACTCTCTTCTTCCATTGCTTGCCCCCACCGAGAACACGGCGTTCCTACAATGGCATCCGACAAAAAGTATTTAATACTAAAAATCTGTATCACAACTTTGATTTATAATTCTAATCATGGGTCCTATTTTGTTTTGATGCTTCCATCAATTGATTTTTTGTGACTATGTTTGGGGTTCGCTTTTTGATTTTGTTTCTTCCATCATCAGATTTTTTCCAAATTGTATTTAGCAATTTTGAGTATCTCGTGTAGGAATCAGGATGGGGGAGTGGATTCAGTCGTGAAGTTATTTTTTCGAGCCTGTATGGTTATTGTCAATGGCATCAGAATAAAATAAACACAAGTCTCAATTATGTTATGCAATTTCCGTATTCTTATTTTTATTATTTGAAGATATGGAACTTTTTGCAGGTTTAAAAATGGGTTTGATCATGATATTTTTTATATATGATCGATTAATGCTTTTAAGACTGGAATTTTGAGAATTCTTGCGGATTTGGTTTATGGTAAAATTTGGATATCATAGGTTCCTAATATGGGTCTCAATCTCAACTATATAATATCCAAATCTTTGAATATTTGTGAGTGCAACTAGAGTATCATCAAGTAATTTAAACATCAATAATAATACCTTGAATTCTAGTCATTAAAAGACAATACATGTGGATCTCTAAACATTGCAATGTGAATTAATATGCTTAATGTGGAAACAACTACATTGCCATGGTAATTCTTTATAAAGTGATTAATATTTACTTGAATTGGAAAACCTCTTTTTACATTAATTTCCACTTTAAGAAAATGTGAAACCAGTTTATTTGGTTAACCTAAAAAACCTTTATATTGATCGAATTAACCCATAGAAACATCTGTACTATTACATAAATAAAACCCATTGAAAGTTCATGAAAGTAATTCAGGAGCAAATATACACCAAATACCATTCTATGAACTACAATATCCACTGTTACCTCCCATGATAGAAATTGCAAAATGAGCAAGAAGTTTGCCGATAATTAAGAAGCACACAATCTTTCCAAATTAGAATTTGTGTATCTCAAAATCTATTATGTATCCGCATGCATATAAAAAATCTCGACTAACATAGACGGGATTGTTCCTAGTTAATGACATTTTTTTAATCTAAAAAGTCGTGATATTTCAAAGATTTTGATTTTTCAATTGCATAGTACTTGAAACTTGGACGGTAAATGTACATTATGCGCAAACATATAGATATGTTTGTCAATCTTAGTTGCATCTTCCTTTTTCAAATGACGTGACAACATTGTTTTGTAACTCCACTGGAACATAATTAATTTTAAGTTAAACAAATCAAACTTGTCATTACAATATCAGCATGAAAAGGCTATCAAAGTGATGAATGTAGGCACACAAATTGAGGGGAATTCGCCAAGAATAATAGCATTTGAAAGAAGATATTATCCATCGAAATAAGGAGTTTTCCCTTGTGAGGAATCTTATGGGTGGCTTACTTATGGTACATCAAAATGAAAACCTAATACAACTTTTTTTCAAATCGTAGGAAAATTAGAAATATTGCAAACGAATGTTACAGACTTCTCATTATTAGTGTTTAGCTTACTATTAAGGAGAAGATAACATCATTCGACAAAAATTATATGTAAATATTTGTAACTTTGAAGTGGCAATAACAAGGAATTAAGAATGCAATTTTCGAGGATTGAAGTAGTTCCCAATTTGCAAAATTTATTTTCGAGGATTGAAGATAAGTCTTTTTCATCCTTCTGGGCTTTTATTCAAGAACTGTGTGCTGTCAATTGAAATAGTAAATTAAAAAAAAAGTAGTTGAAATAACAAAAACCCATGAGCATGATCACCTGTTATGAGCAAACATTTCTAACTAATTTGTAAAGTAACTGCCGACCAGACAGAAAAGGACGAGGAGAGAAAACGACAGAGCTAACTTCTATAAACGGGGAGTCGACAAGGAAAAATGGGTGACATTAAGAGGGGGCTTGGGGTTTTTCATGGTTTTTAATGAATGTTACGATAATTTCAATGAAACCTCATTTTATTGATTATACATTTCCTCCCAAATATTATTTAATTAAACCAATATCATTATTACGAACAAGCAAACTATACTGCATCCCGACTCAATTTTGACCACGGGGTGTTGGATCCCCACCTAATTTTAATATGTGGACCGCATTCTAAAAAATAATTTTAAATCGGGCTAAAATTGTAAAAGTGGCATACAAAATCGATCAAAAGAAAAGAAATTAGGCTAAATCTATAAAAACAAAAAAGGAAAAACATTATAGGGATATATGTTAATATAGCAAATAAAAGATCTCAGAAGCACCTACAAATTTGGTCTTGGTGGTTTACAAAAAACTATAGATAGAGACTAACAAGTTTTTGCTTGCATGGATAGTCCAAAATAAAATTTTTTCTTCGTTTTCCTCTTAAAAAATATGAAAAGACTACTTTACCCTTTTAATGAGAGAAATTTAAGAAAGTTAGTTTTAGAAAAAAAAAGTTCAAGAACCAGCGTTCGAATCTAGGTGTATCGCCTTACAACAAGGCTACAAGCACGAACCATTGAACTATTCATTAGTAATCTGCACACCAAAATAGTATGATACCTTTCTTTTGTAACTTAATATTTATCTAGGTCCTTTATACGTGCATGTTTTACGTTAAAATTTTATTTTATTTTACTTATTTGTAGCCACGTAAATAAGTGTAGTAATTTATTAAATTACTTTCCTTAAATTGTTCTTGTCTTATTAGAAAAAAGGGTTAATCATCATCTACTAATCAAACACATTAATTAAATTATTTATGATAAAAGAATATTATATACAAGAATACATTGAATATTAGAAGTCCAGAACACATGAACATGAAATTGTTTTAACAAGTGGTACGCGATGACTATTGGATAAATGGGCAAGGGGTGAAAGTGGAACCCAAATATGATGAATTTTTTGAATGGGTTAATAGTAAATAATTTTTTAAAAAATTGCTAAAGTTAATACAGTCCTTTCATGACTTTAAAGAATATCTAGGACCAAAACTGCACTGAAAATATGAGAAATTAAATATTCCTCATAAAATTTGTTCCTATCCCATGTTAAATGTTGAAATGTGTCAAATTAAATGAAATTAAAAGTATACTAATACACTTGTCACCATTTAACATGGGTAGGAGGACATATAGTAGGAAAAGGTATGAGAATATTTAATTTCTTTAGATATATATAAAAAGGAGGATCCAAGAGTTAAACAAGAGTTTGGGGACCAATAGTGTAGAATACCCGAAACTATAAAGACCATTAATGTAATTTACTCTTATTTATATAAAAAATAGATTACATGTTATCATATGTATAACATGTATTTTAATTACATATATCATGACATATCTCATACCCTTCTATGCATATTACTACTGGTGGCCCAATACAACAATAACAACTTTTTCTTGTTCCATGGCATCTTGTTGATGGACTTGGCATACAAAAACCCGTCAACTTGTGATCATGAAATGGGTCATCAGAATCTAGAGTAGATGGTGGTGGACTTACTTTACTTGAATTGGTCTGCATCATTGCAATTTCGATGTTTTTTTCGCCATTGTTGCTCCCATCGATAGCTGCATACACGGACGCGTTAGAGGATATATAACGCATAAATGAAGCTTTTCCAAAAATTAAGATTTAAAAGATTGATGGTCTATAACTTTTAAATTTTATATAAAATATAGAAGATGATTATTTGTAGATATAACATGTTAATAAATCTTTTTCAGAGTATATTTTATTTTAGACTTTAATTTAAATAAGGTTTATGAAACTCAGGTACTTTTATATATATATATATATATATATATATATATATATATATATATATATATATATATATTCAAATCCTCAAGGGATTAACAACATAATGATTAACTCACACATGATAAGAAGGCTAAGAACAAAGAACATGACTAGAAATTGCATATTCATGAACATCCTTACACGGTAAGTGATATCAAGAGGTGGTGGTGAACATATTTATACAAAAATTATCATAATTAAGAGTTCAAATAATTGGAGCAATTTACACTCTATGTCTAAGAATCCTCCATAATTTCTAAAGATTTTGAGTACAATTGAATTCATATGTTTGTAATTATTGATTCCAATGAGTTTGGTACTAAAATTATTAAAACTAAGTGTTCAAATAATGGGAGCGATTAGCACTCTATCTCTAGGAATCCTCCATAATTACAAAAGATTTTGAGCCAATTGAGTTCATATGTTTCTATTTATTTTGACTCCAATGAATTTGGTACGCTTCATAACAATGGAATGATTTTCATTTTCCCAAAAGTGATAATTTCTTTTCAGGTAGTTTTGTGAAATCCTATAAGATATCTTTTAATTAGAACAAAATAAATACATTTCAGGCTAGAGTTTTCCTAAAATTCAAAGTTTCTTTTGAAGTAGATTAGTGGCGTATTTGGCATATTCAAAGTTTCTTTCCAAATTAGATTAGAGATAAAAGTTACCAAACGAATTATGATAGAGCTTGTCGAGATCTCTATCATTTGTGCCGGTTTCAAATTTCTTTTCATTGATTATTATTTTTTTTGTCGTTTTCATGTGTACTAGTTTTATCTACTTTTTCTGTCTGCCAAAAATGTAGTGGAGATAGATGATAATTGAACCATGACATTGATCTGTCTAAATCGGTCGATTTCCTAGGTATGTCGGATCACATAAATTTGGCTGATAGGATCAAGATGGAATCAGCAACTTGGTCCGCTACTTCTGCAAATCCTTCTTCTATTTGCTCGCCTCGGTTACTCCTGCCTTTTTTAGTGGTTCTCTTTGTTAACCGCCTATGACCCCATCGATACTCTCTTCTTCCATTGCTTGCCCCCACCGAGAACACGACGTTCCTACAATGGCATCCTATAAAAAGTCTTTAATACAAAAAATCAGTATCACAACTTTGATTTATAATTCTAATCATGGGTCCTATTTTGTTTTGATGCTTCCATCAATTGATTTTTTGTGACTATGTTTGGGGTTTGCTTTTTGATTTTGTTTCTTCCATCATCAGATATTTTCCAAATTGTATTTAGCAATTTCGAGTATCTCGTACAGGAATCAAGATGGGGGTGTGGATTTAGTCGTGAAGTTATTTGTTCGAGCCGGTATGGTTATTGTCAATGGCATCGGAATAAAATAAACACAAGTCACGATTATGTTATGCAATTTTCGTATTCTTATTTTTATTATTTGAAGATATGGAAATTTTTACAGGTTCAAAAATGGGTTTGATCATGATATTTTTTTATATATGATCGATTAATGTTTTTAAGACTGGAATTTTGAGAATTCTTGCGGATTTGGTTTATGGTAAAATTTGGATATCATAGGTTCCTAATATGGGTCTCAATCTCAACTATATAATATCCAAATTTTTGAATATTTGCGAGTGCAACTAGGGTATCATCAAGTAATTTAAACATCAATAATAATACCTTGAATTCTAGTCATTAAAAGACAATACATGTGGATCTCCAAACATTGCAATGTGAATTAATATGCCTAATGCGGAAATAAACTACATTGCCCTGGTAATTCTTTATAAAGTGATTAATATTTACTTGAATTGGAAAACCTCTTTTTACATTAAGTTCCACTTTAAGAAAATGTGAAACCAGTTTATTTGGTTAACCTAAAAAAACCTTTATATTGATCGAATTAATCCATAGAAACATCTGTACTTTTACATAAATAAAACCCATCGAAAGTTCATGAAAATAATTCAGGAGCAAATATACACCAAATACCATTCTATGAACTACAATATCCACTGTTACCTCCCATGATAGAAATTGCAAAATGAGCAAGAAGTTTGCCGATAATTAAGAAGCACACAATCTTTCCAAATTAGAATTTGTGTATCTCAAAATCTAGTATGTATCCACATGCATATAAAAAATCTCGACTAACATAGACGGGATTGTTCCTAGTTAATGACATTTTTTTAATCTAAAAAGTCGTGATATTTCAAAGATTTTGATTTTTCAATTGCATAGTACTTTAAACTTGGAAGGTAAATGTACATTATACACAAACGTATAGATATGTTTGTCAATTTTAGTTGCATCTTCCTTTTTCAAATGACGTGACAACATTGTTTTGTAACTCCACTGGAACATAATTAATTTTAAGTTAAACAAATCAAACTTGTCATTACAATATCGGCATGAAAAGGCTATCAAAGTGATGAATGTAGGCACACAAATTGACGGGAATTGGCCAAGAATAATAGCAACTGAAAGAAGATATTATCCATCAAAATAAGGAGTTTTCCCTTGTGGGGAATCTTACGGGTGGCTTACTTCTGGTACATCAAATTCAAATCGTAGGAAAATTAGAAATATTGCAAACGAATGTTACAAACTTCTCATTATTAGTGTTTAGCTTACTATTAAGGAGAAGATAACATCATTCGACAAAAATTATATGTAAATATTTGTAACTTTGAAGTGGCAATAACAAGGAATTAAGAATGCAATTTTCGAGGATTGAAGTAGTTCCCAATTTGCAAAATTTATTATCGAGGATTGAAGATAAGTCTTTTTCATCCTTCTGGGATTTTATTCAAGAACTGTGTGATGTGAATTGAAATAGTAAATTAGAAAAAAAGTAGTTGAAATAACAAAAACCCATGATCATGATCACCTGTTGATGAAAAAATATTTGAAACTAATTTGTAAAGTATCTGCCGACCACGAGGAGAGAAAAGGACAGGGCTAACTTCTATAAACCGGAAATCGACAAGGAAAAATGGGTGACATTAAGAGGAGGATTGGGGTTTTTCATGGTTTTTAATGAATGTTACGATAATTTCAATGAAACCTCATTTTATTGATTATACATTTCCTCCCAAATATTATTTAATTAAACCAATATCATTATTACGAACAAGCAAACTATATTGCATCCCGACTCAAATTTGACTACGGGGTGTTTGGATCCCCACCTAATTTTAATATGTGGACCGCATTCTAAAAAATAATTTTAAATCGGGCTAAAATTGTAAAAGTGGCATACCAAATCGATCAAAAGAATAGAAATTAGGCTAAATCTATAAAAACAAAAAAGGAAAAACATTATAGGGATATATGTTAATATAGCAAATAAAAGATCTTAGAAGCACCTACAAACTAGGTCTTGGTGGTTTACAAAAAACTATAGAAAGAGACTAACAAGTTTTTGTTTGCATGGAAAGTCCAAAATAAATTTTTTATAGGCTTTCCTCTTAAAAAAATTGAAAATACTACTTTACCCTTTTAATGAGAGAAATTTAAGAAAATTAGTTTCAGAAAAAAAAAAAAAGTTCAAGCACCAACGTTCGAATCTAGGTTTATCGCGTTACAACAAGGCTACAAAGACGAACCATTAAACTATTCATTAGTTTTCAGCACACCAAAATAGTATGATACCTTTCTTTTGTAACTTAATATTTATGTAGGTCCTTTATACGTGTATGTTTTACGTTAAAATTTTGTTTTATTTTACTTAATTTAGCCACATAAATAAGTGTAGTTATTTATTAAATTACTTTCCTTCAATTTTTCTGTGTCGTATTAGAAAAAGGGTTAATCATCATCTACTAATCAAACACATTAATTAAATTACTTATGAAAAAAGAATATTATATACAAGAATACATTGAATATTAGAAGTCCAGAACACGTGAACATGAAATTGTTTTAACAAGCAGTACACGATGACTAATGGATAAATGGGCAAGGGGTGAAAGTGGAACCCAAATATGATTAATTTTTTAATGGGTTAATAGTAAATAATTTTTTAAAAAATAGAGAAAGTTAATACAGTCCCTTCATGACTTTAATGAATAACTAGGACCAAAATAATAGTACTGAAAATATGAGAAATTAAATACTCCTCTTAAAATTTGTTCCTATCCCATGTTAAATGTTGAAATGTGTCAAATTAAATGAAATTAAAAGTATACTAATACACTTGTCACCATTTAACATGGGTATGAGGACATATAGTAGGAAAAGTTATGAGAATATTTAATTTCTTTAGATATATATAAAAAGGAGGATCCAAGAGTTAAACAAGAGAGTTTGGGGATCAATAGTGTAGAATACCCGAAACTATAAAGACCATTAATGTAATTTACTCTTATTTATATAAAAAATAGATTACATGTTATCATATATATAACATGTATTTTAATTACATATAGCATGACATATCTCATACCCTTCTATGCATATTACTACTGGTGGCCCAATACAACAATAACAACTTTTTCTTGTTCCATGGCATCTTGTTGATGGACTTGGCATACAAAAACCCGTCAACTTGTGATCATGAAATGGGTCATTAAAATCTAGAGTAGATGGTGGTGGACTTACTTTACTTGAATTGGTCTGCATCATTGCAATTTCGATGTTTTTTTCACCATTGTTGCTCCCATCAATAGCTGCATACACGGACGCGTTACAGGAAATATAATGCATAAACGAAGCTTTTCCAAAAATTAAGATTTAAAAGATTGATGGTTTATAATTTTTAAATTTTATCTAAAATATAGAAGATGATTATTGGGAGATATAACATCTTTATAAATATTTTTCAGAGTATATTTTAGTTTAGACTTTAATTTAAATAAGTTTTATGAAACTCGGGTATATATATATATATATATATATATTATATATATATATATATATAATATATTTCAAATCCTCAAGGGATAAATAGAATAATTAACTCACACATGATAAGAAGGCTAAGAACAAAGAACATGAGTAGAAATTGCATATTCATGAACATCCTTACACGGTAGGTGATCTCAAGAGTTGGTGGTGAACATATTTATACGAAAATTATCATAATTAAGAGTTCAAATAATTGGAGCGATTTACACTCTATGTCTAAGAATCCTCCATAATTACTAAAGATTTTGAGTACAATTGAATTAATATGTTTCTATTTATATTGATTCCAATGAGTTTGGTACTAAAATTATTAAAACATAGTGTTCAAATAATGGGAGCGATTAGCACTCTATCTCTTGGAATCCACCATAATTAAAAAAGATTTTTAACCAATTGAGTTCATATGTTTCTATTTATTTCGACTCCAATGAATTTGGTACACTTCATAACAATGGAAAGATTTTCATTTTCCCAAAAGTGAAAATTACTTTTCAGGTAGTTTTGTGAAATCCTATAAGATATCTTTTAATTATAACAAAATAAATACATTTAAGGCTAGAGTTTTCCTAAAATTCAAAGTTTATTTTGAAGTAGATTAGTGGTGTATTTGGCATATTCAAAGTTTCTTTCCAAATTAGATTAGAGATAAAAGTTACCAATCGAATTTGGATTGAGCTTGTCGAGATCTCTCTCATTTGTGCCGGCTTCAAATTTCTTTTCATTGATTACTATTTTTGTTTTTGTCGTTTTCATGTGTACTAGTTTTATCTACTTTTTCTGTCTACCAAAAATGTAGTGGAGATAGATGATAATTGAACCATGGCATTGTTCTGTCTAAATGGGTCGATTTGCTAGCTAATTTGGATCACATAAATATAGGTGATAGGATCAAGATGGAATCAAAAACTTGGTCCCCTACTTCTGCAAATCCGTCTACTATTTGCTTGCCTTGGTTACTCCTGCCCTTTTTTGTGGTTCTCTTTGTTAACCTCCTCTGACCCCATCGCTCCCCTCCTCTTCCATTTCTTGCCCCCACCAAGAACATGGCCTTCCTACAATGACATCCGATAAAAAATCTTTAACACTAAAAATTAGTATCATAACTTTTATCTATAATTCTAATTATGGGTCCTATTTTGTTTTGATACTTCCAGAATTCATTTTTTGTGACTATGTTTGGGGTTTGCTTTTTGATTTTATTTCTTCTATCATCAGATTATTTCTGAATGGTATTTAGCAATTTCGAGTATCTCGTGCAGGAATCAGGATGGGGGCGTGGATTCAGTCATGGATTTATTTCTTGGAGCTGGTATGGTTATTATTAGAAGATATGGAAATTTTTACAGTTTCTTATTTTTATTATTTGAAGATATGGAAATTTTTACAGGTTCAGAAATGGGTTTAAACATGATATATTTTACGATTAATGGTTTTAAGACAGGAATATTGATCAGATTAACCCATAGAAACATCTGTACTATTAAATAAATAAAATCCATCGAAAGTTCATGAAAGTAATTCTGGAGCAAATATACACCAAATACCATTCTATGAACTACAATATCCACTGTTACCTCCCATGACCAACAATTGCAAAATTAACGAGAAGTTTTCCGATAATTAAGAAGCACACAATCTTTCCAAATAATAATTTGTGTATCTCAAGATCTAGTATGTATCCGCATGCATATAAAAAATCTCGACTAACATAGACGTGATTGTTCCTAATTAATGATATCTTTTTAAAGTAAAAAGTCGTGATATTTCAAAGATTTTGATTTTTCAACTGCATTGTACTTGAAACTTGGAAGGTATATGTACATTATACACAAACATATAGATATGTTTGTCAATCTTAGTTGCATCTTCCTTTTTCAAAATGATGTGACAACATTGGTTTGTAACTCCACTGGAACATAATTAATTTTAAGTTCAACAAATCAAACTTGTCATTACAACATTAGCATGATAAGGCTATCAAAGTGATGAATGTAGGCACATAAATTGAGGGGAAGTGGCCAAGAATAATAGCATCTGAAAGATGATATTATCAATCAAAATAAGGCGTTTTCCCTTGTGGGGAATCTTATGCGTGGCTTACTTCTGGTACATCAAAATAAAAACCTAGTGCAACTTTTTTGCAAATCGTAGGAAATTTAGAAATATTGCAAACGAATGTTACAGCCTTCTCATTATTAGTGTCTAGCTTACCATTAAGGAGAAGATAACATCATTCAAAAACAATTATATGTAAATATTTGTAACTATGTTGTGGCAAGAAGAAGGAAATAAGAATGCAATTTTCGAGGATTGAAGTAGTTCCCAATTTGCAAAAGTTATTTTCGAGGGTTGAAGATAAGTTTTTTTCATCCTTCTGGGCTTTTATTCAAGAACTGTGTGCTGTCAATTGAAATAGTAAACTAAAAAAAACTAATTGAAATAACAAAAACCCATGAGCATGAACTGTGTGCTGATTGAAGTAGTTCCCAATTTGCAAAAGTTATTTTCGAGGGTTGAAGATAAGTTTTTTTCATCCTTCTGGGCTTTTATTCAAGAACTGTGTGCTGTCAATTGAAATAGTAAACTAAAAAAAACTAATTGAAATAACAAAAACCCATGAGCATGATCACCTGTTGATGAACAAACATTTGAAAATATTTTGTAAAGTAACTGCCATCCTGATGCTACCAGATAAGGGACAAAGCAATGTTGCCCAAACAGAAAAGGACGAGGAGAGAAAACGATAGAGCTAACTTCTATAAACGGGGAGTCAACAAGGGAAAAAGGGTGACATTAAGAGGAGGATTGGGGTTTTTCATTTTCTTTCATGGTTTTTAACGAATGTTATGATAATTTCAATGAAACCTCATTTTATTGAGTATACATTTCCTCCCAAATATTATTTAATTAAACCAATATCATTATTACTAACAAGCAAACTATATTGCATCCTGACTCAATTTTGACCACGAGGTGTTTGGATTCTCTTCTAATTTTAATATGTCGACCGCATTCTTAAAAATAATTTTAAATCGGGCTAAAAGTGTAAAAGAGGAATACCAAATTGATAAAAACAATTGAAATTAGGCTAAATCTGTAACGTCGTGATTTTCACCATAATTTTTTTTCTTTTTAAAATGTTTATTTAATAGAATACGTTAGCGGAAGACTTAGTTTTTAATTCAAAACCACAACGTTACTTCAAAAACTCAAACATAATTCCAAACTAGTTAAAATGTAAACAAAAGTACTTTAAAGTAAATAATCAAAAACATGTCCAAGAGTGGTGTCGTTAATACAAATCTACCCATAAGAACCACTCTCACCAATGCCAATCTTCTAAATTGCCTGCACCAATCATAAGGCACAAAAGAGAAAAGATACAAGTGTCAGCCCCTGCCGAGTGAGTTCATAAAGTTGCATATAAAATATACAAACCCCAAATGGGTCAATCATTCATTTTACAATGAAGCATAAAAAAGGATAGACAAATACCACTTAGAAAACAACCGCATATCATAACTATTTAATCACATATTCAACCGCATACATGCATAAATGTTTAACCATAATTCTACCACATAACATATATGATCAACCAAAGACCACATAAGCAACCACATAGCATATAAATAATCACCTTTCATATATAAGCAAACTTTAATTGTTCAACCTTTTATCAATAACCAACCTTTTATTACATATTCAACCTTTTAATATACAACCAAACTTTGTTATATATTCAACCTTTTAATATGTAACCAACCTTTTATTACTTATTCAACCTTTTATTATATCTATCCAACCAATTGATAGAAAAGTGTCCCTTAGTGCTACCTAACCCAAGAGAAACACCCTGTTCACTACCTATGTGCACGGCCAGCCGAATGCTGTAAGTGGCTCATGACATCCACCCGAAACACCAACCCCGTGACTCCACTTTCGCTACTCCGAATTTCCAAAGTACAAGTACCTCGTGGTGTCGTTCAGGATCGGTACAAACAGTGTCAATTCTACCGATACACCTCCCGATTCCCACGTGATGTTTGATCCGGCTACACCATAAAGGCAACACCACTCCAGTTCCCGTACACCGGGGTGCACGCGAACCATGTGTCACACGACCGTCTAGAAAGAACGTGTAACTAATCACCGTTATGGCTTAAGCTCTTTCAACCGATTAAACTTCCAAGGTTCTACCCATGACACCATTATACCCCACATACAAACAAGCATACTGTCACACCCCGAAACCGATGGCGGAAACGTTCCGAGGCGGAGGACGTCATGCGTAGTCTCATAACAGTTGTATCATAGTAAGCGAAGTAAACACAACCATTACATTATAATATGAGTATTTACATTGTTCAAAAAGCATGGTTTATATATAAAGTATATAACAAAAGTAAAAGACGTGACTTCAGAATGTTCCGTCTTCTCCAAAAGTTGGCAAGAGTACCTGTCTATTGATGCCCTGAGAATACAAGCAGTTTTAAAAATATCAGCATAAAGCTGGTGAGTTCATAAGCGTTTAATTCTGGTGAAAGAAATGTTTCTTTGATTCTTTGAAAAGTTGTTTGCCAAGAAAATCCTATATTTTCTTATGAAAGAGGTTTGATTATCCATTAGTTATACGATAAACAGCCTGTTTATAAAAGGGTAAGTTATCCCAGGAAAATCCTATATTTTCCTTAAAAGTTGATAGTTGATTTTCGATTCTGATACGGGGTGTACAAGTATCTACCATACTTGTATCGATAGATGTAGTTTCCTTGAAAAACCCTGGATACTCGTTGTGAGATGTATTAGCCTTATTACATAAATAAAACTAATAAAATAGGTAGTGAACTAGATCCTAAGGGTGTTACTGATGCCCTCTAGTAATCAAATCGGATATTACTTTGAGGTTAGTTCACTCGTTTCATTATTACAAAAGTAAATTCTCGTTACCTAAGTTGTGAGTGCCATAACCGTACTTAGACTGGATAAGGCACGAAACGGGGGCCAGTATCTTTTATGACTTTGTCACCCCTGAACCTAACGGTTCCGCTGTAGCTAGCAGCGAGGGTGCGGGATAGTCAGTCCCATATAGATCTATACACAATAGTCACGTTCTCCCTCCA